TTCCTATTCCTCTGATGCTGCTTGGCCTGCTGTGTTCATCCAGCTCTACACCTTGTTATCTCTGTAGTTTTTTTGAGCCAGCTTGCTGCAATAACAGCATTCCACCATGGGAGGGTGTTGATTTACTTTCAAAGCCATCGATAGAAGGCATGTTCAGTTTACCAGAATCGAAGTGCAGCTGGAAATTCCAGTAATGCCGTAACTAGTATTCAAAATCTTCTCTTCCTTATTCGTCTTTACACATTTCTTTCACTCATTTTACATCCAACAAAAATGCTTGTGTAAGGGCATACTAAGTCTATCATATATAACGTGTGCCCTTCTCAAAACAGCATGACACCACAATGAAATAACAAAAGCCCCAGTCATGTTAATTTCAGTATGTTATTATAGAAAGGTCAAAGCATCAATAATCTAAAGATGGAACGATCTTCAGAAGTAGCAATGGAGTTGAAATATTTTGTATGTGTATTCACTTCTTGCCCTACAACACTTTCCTGCCGCAATTTAACATGGTTATTAATTTTACTTAAAGCCATAGAGCATGGAAACAGAGCCTTTAGTCCAACCCATCCATGCCAACACACATCCTAAATTAATCTAGTCCCATGTGCCAGCATTTGGCCCATATCCCTCAAAACCCTTCCTATTCATATACCCATCCAGATGCCTTTTAAATGTTGTAATTGTACCAGCCTCCACTACTTCTTCTGGTGACTCATTCCATACACGCACCACCCTCTGCGCAAAAAAGTTGACCCTCAAGGTCCCTTTTAAATCTTTCCATTCTCACCTTAAATCTATGCTCTCTAGTTTTGGACTCCCCCACACCAGGATAAGACCTTGGCTATTCAGCCTATCCATGCCCCTCATAATTTTACAAACCTTTATAAGGTCATCCTTCAGCCTCTGGCGCTCAAGGGAAATAGCCCCTGCCTATTCAGCTTCTCCCTATAGCTCAAACCCTCCAACTCCAGCAATGTCTTTCTAAATCTTTTCTGAACCCTTTCAAGTCTCACAACAGCTTTCCTATAGTAGGGAGACCAGGACTGAACGCAATATTCCAACAGTGGCCTAACCAATGTCCTGTTCAGCTGCAGCATGACCTCCCAACTCCTATACGCAGTGCACTGACCAATAAAGGTAAGCGTACCAAACGCCATCTTCACTACTCTGTCTACCTGTGACTCCACCTTCAAGGAACTGTGAACCTACACTCCAAGGTCTCTTTATTTGGTAACACTCCCCAGGACCCTACTATTAAGTGTATACATCCTGCCCTGGTTTGCCTTACCAAAATGTAACAGCTTCACATTTATCTGAATTAAACTCCATTTTCCACTCATCGGCTCATAGGCCCATCTGATCAAGGTCCCGTTGTACTCTGAGAACCTTTTTCACTGTCCACTACACCACCAATTTTGGTGTCATCTGCAAACTTACTAACCATTCTTCCAAATTCAAATCATTTATATAAATGACAAAAATGACTTCTGAGTGAGTCTTTCAAGGTTACCCTCCAAGATCCGCTCACCAATCTGTGTCTGCAAAAAACAGGAAGATCCTCAACTGGATCATCCATCTTTGCTCCTTCTAATTGCCATCTAATGGCGAATATTTTCCCACATGAATGCCCTTCAGAAACTTTACTTTGCAACCCTAAATCGATCTTGGCTCCCAGCTGAACTCAAGTCTATACAGGACCCAATCTTATCAGAAGTCAACTGGACGCGATAGGAAAATTACAAACTGACAGTTCCTGAAACAAAAAGAAATTAGCTACAAACTGCCGACTGAGCATTAGCAGAATTTGTATACATACTTTTCAGTTGCTATTTATAACTAACACAAGTTGGAAATGAAGGATTAAATTTCAAATGTTTCAACAACTGGATTTCACTGCACTTACTCTCCAAGTCTGAGATGATGAGATTGTCATGGAGTTTGACTGTTCGATGCTGCTCCACTTCATCCTCTAGTTCAAAAATGGTCTCTTTCATGTCATTTATCTCTGTTTCCTTCTCTTCCAGTTCAGCTCGTTGTTTCTCCACATTCAGATTAAGGTCATCTATCTGTTTTTTGGCTTCTTCCTGGAAAATTCTGTATTCATCCTCAACCTGAGACACAAACAATGCAACACTTAGAAAGCACTCTGATCACAACACAGGGAAACGTGTTGCAGGCAATGGATGATACAGGTGGAGTTTGGGAAGAGCACAGTGGAAGACAAAAAAAGAACTAGGTTAGCATTCTTCAACACCACCACGAACAAATGATCTGGCCATATTCCTCATTACTGTTGCGGGATCATGCAATGTGAATGCTGGCTGCCAAGTTTCTAACAATAACGCAGTGATTATGGTTTCAAACCACTTTGCTGGCTTAAAGCACTTCAAACCATCTTTAGATTGCTAAAAGTGCATGTCTTTTTCTTTTACTTAGGATCAGCAACTTTAATATCACTCCTCATGTCTCTCGCTGTTATGCAAATTAGAAACAAACAGTTTCTGCAGATCCATTTTCCTCTCTTTTGTCCCCATGGTTACACTGGTTTGATACCATGAGATATCCAGCTACCTGATAGGTACAGGACTAGTGTTACAACTCAGTCACCAATTATAGCCAGTGCCCAACTTTCATCTCATCACCAGCTTCACCCTTGGACTCTAAGTGATTTATACACATCTATTCACTTTTGTCAATATTTTCTTACAGTTTTCATCTTTCCAAAGGACCAAATACAATCTGTACTATGATGGTTGCCTGGTAAACTCTTGGGAGGCCTTCAAAGAGGAGATGGCCAAGACATGAATGTAAAGGTTAAGAGCTCCCTCAATAACTAAAGAAAGAGATTAAAATAAAACAGCAAAGGGATGCTTGTGGTAAGTTCATGATGATAATACAGTTCAAAATCAATATAGAAACATAGAAAATATAAAACTAAAGTGAGAAACAGAAGGAGCAAAGAGTTTATGAAAATAAGTTGCTGGAAAAGCTCAGCAGGTCTGAGAGCATCTGTGAAGAGAAATCAGAGATGATTTTTCAGGTCTGGTGACTCTTCCTCAGTTTCTGATTTACAGCATCTGCAGTTCTTTTGGTTTTTATGAAAATAAGTTTATGGGCAACACAATCAGGAGATCACTGATTTTTTTAATAAACTTTATTAAAAAAAGTATAAATAGTTGAAAGAACAGGGGTTAATTAAGAACCAGAAGAAACTTTTTAAAAATTTATTCACTGCAGACCATTTGAGATAGGTATATCCGCAGCGCTACAAAGGAGGGAGTTCCAGGACTCTGATCCAGCCATGCAACCAAGTCAGGATGGTGTGTAGCTTGGACAGGAACTTGCAGGTGGTCTCAGTGTGACCCTATTTTGAGGCTTGAAAATTGTCATGACCCCTCTTTAGGAACTATGATAGTGGGTTCAGAGGTGGGATGACTTATGACAGTGAGGGGAAGAAGAGGAGGAGCCAATGCTGCCTCCAAGCTCGCATTCCATCAAAATTTCAGTCACGACCCCACCTGATGTCCTAACTCTCACTTTGGTAAAGACGTACTAGTTGGTAGGGGTTAGGGTCAGGGCTACAAGGTACTGTCTAAGGATCTTTGGTAAATTTCTGTTGCACCATCTTGTAGACAGCACAAACTGCCGCTACTGAGCATTGGTAGTGCAGGGAGTGAATATCTGTTGATATGGTGCCAATCAAGCAGGCTGTTTCGTCCTGAATGGTGTCAAGCTTCTCAATAATTGTTGGAATTGAACTCATCCAGATAACTGTGGAAGCAGACAGCATGGTCGAGGCAGTAAATGTTTACTTCACACTGGTCTCCACTAAAGAGGATACAGTCAATGCAGCAGTAGAAAAGTTGGAAAGGATAAAAACAGATAGAAGGGATACTTCAAAGTCACTGGTCAAGAGTGGAAACTGTACCATTTCAATTGCTGATTAAAGAAACTATGGAAATTGTGGAGCCTGTGATCGCTATTTGTCAGCATTCAATAGATATGGGGATGGTGTCTGAGTGCTAGAGAATTGTAATTGTAATTGTTACAGCCCTGCTTTAAGAAGGAAGCAGGAATAAATCAATAAATTACAGACCAGTCAGCCTAATGTCCATGGTGCAGAATGGTATAGTGGTATAGACAGCCAACAATCTAAGACGAAAATAAATTGCCACCATAGTGATGATGGGGAAGTTTAGGACATGTGAGCTTAAAATCAGAGTCAGGCCTATCAGAAGAGATATTAAAATACATTTCTTCATACAACGAAAAGTAGAAGGATGGAACAATCCCCTACAAAAAGCAGTAGGTACCAATTCAATTAATAATTTGAAATCATAGATCAACTTTTTTTTTTAACTTGCCCACTGTCTGGAAGGATATGGAACCATGGTGAATGGATGAAGTTAGCAGGTAGATTACCCAGGATCTGAATTTATTAAACAGACCAGGCTCAAGGGCTGAAAAACCAATGTTCTTGCTCCAATGTTCTTGCTCCAATGTTCCTAATCTATACTAAAACAAAATAATTATTTGACTTCAACAGGCTCCACGATTTAGGAACAATGTCAAGGCTGGGGGAAGATGGCAAGGAGAGTTACTCGAGTGGTACTGGCAACAAAAGATTTCAGTCAAGTGGGACACTTAGATCAATGTAGATGGTGCTTTTTTTTCAAACAGCAAAGGTTTAGAGTAGATTTGAGGAACTGAAAATTCTGAAGCTTTGAAAAAAACTGTTTTCAGTGACAGAAGGATCAGTAATCAGACAATAAATGTAATACCGATTGGCAATAGAACACACAGATGTCAGAGAGTCATACAGCATGGAAACAGACCCTCAGTCCAACCAGTCCACAATGACTATGTTCCAAAACTAAACTAGTCCCACCTGCCCCATATCCCTCCAAATCTTTCCTATTCATGAACGTTTTAACTGTACCTGCATCCACCACTTTCTCTGGCAGCTCATTCCACACAACAAGCGCTGTGTGTTTAAAATAAAGTTGCCCTCATGTCATTTTTAAATCTTTCTCCTCTCACCTTGAAAGTATGGCCCCCAGTTTTGAACTCTCCCACCCCAGGGAAAAGACCCCTGTTATTGATGCCCCTCATCATTTTATAAATCTCAATAAGGTCACCCCTCAATCTCCTACGCTCCAGTAAAAAAATGCCTTAGCCTTTACAGTCTATTTTTATAACTCAAACTCTCCATTCTTGGCAGCACCCTGGTAAATCTTTTCTGAACCCTCTCGACATTAATAATATCCTTTCTATAACAGAGTGACCAGAACTGGACACACTGCTCCAGAAGAGGCCTCACCAACTTCCTGTACAACCTCAACATGACGTCCCAACTCCTTTATTCAAAGGTCTGAGCAATGAAGGCAAGCATGCTATATGCCTTCTTCACTATCCTATCTACCCAAGATACAAATTTCAAAGAATTATATAACCAAACCCCAAGGTGTCTCTGATCTACAACACTACCCAGGGCCCTACCATTAATTGTATAAGTCCTGACTTGTCTGTATTACCAAAATGCAATACCTCACATTTATCCAAATGAAATTCCATGTGCCACTCTTCAGCCCATGAACCCAACTGATCAGATCTCTTTCTAATCTAAGACAATCTTCCCACTGTCCACTATACCACCAATTTTGGTGTCATCTGCAAACTTACTCATCCAAATCATTTATGTAAATGACAAACAAAAGTGGATCCAGTACCGATCGCTAGTCAGAGCCTCCAGTTCAAGAAACAACCCCCCACTACCATCCTATGTCTCCTACCATAAAGCCAATTTTTAATTCAACTGGCAAGTTCACCCTAAATCCTGTGTAATCTAACTTGACTAATTAGTCTACTAGACAGAACCTTGGTCAAAGGTTTTACGTGTATTTTTCTTTAAGCAATGAGTTATGATCTGGATTGTACCGCCTGAAAAAGTGTTTGAAGTAGCTTCAGTTGTAACTGAAAATTGAAAGGATAAATATTTGAAGGGGAGAAAATTGCAGGACAGGGGAATAGGATGAACTGAAAATTCCCAGTACAAATTAAACAGCAAAAGACCAAATTTCAAGAAAACGCTCATTGTTATTTCTAGTCACAAAAAGTAACAACACTGAAAACAGAAGAAAAACATCCAAGATTTCAGTGTGTACTAGCTCATCATTTGGGACATGTTCAGACGAAATGGTCTGACAGATTGGACATTATACGTGCTGTCCTTATTTTTACGTTTTTCTTCTAACTTCCCAAAGTCACCTGCTGGGAAGATGAATTATACAGGGATGTTGTACAAGCACATCTGCAATACTACTGCACTCTGAAGCATCATATATTTACATACCTGTTGACTGCAAAACCAGGTCAAAGAAATTTTGTAAAGTCTGCTAAGGTGCAACTGAGAGCTCCGAATACTTCATGATGTCACCTTACAATGGATTGTAGAATCCAGTTTAGTTGGAGTCATTAAGGGCTTACATGTCAATCCAGTTTCAGAGTTGGATGATTTGCACAGGTCACTGACTGATGATTGAAGTATTCATTACTTTTTACACCAAATTTAAGCACTGACATGAGCCAACAGGGAGCACACTTGAATTTAAAACATACTGTAGATATAGTTTACAAACTAGCAAACATTTTTAGGAATTGGTTTTGCTGGATTCCCTTGTAAGTGATGTTTGTTCATGACTTAAAGTAACTATCCTACCTTAGCGAGAGTATCTTGTAGTTGGTTTGCATCATTGCGAGTATGGGCCAGTTCTTCCTGCAGGTTATTATATAAGGCCTCAATTTTCTCTTTGTCCAATCGTGTGGTCTCCAAGAGTTCTTGTAAATCTGACTTGTCGCCTGCATTGTGGAAAGCATACAAATCTGCAACCTTCTGTTTCTCATGCTCTAACAGAGCCTTGAATCTGTTCAGTTCAATCTGATCATTTGCAACAGTTGCTTTATATTCTTCCAACGCTCCAGCAAGGGCTGTTTTGGCTTTTTGCTCTGACTCCATTACTCGCTCCATTTGATGGTTACGCTCTTTGAGAGCTCCAATCAATTCTTGAGCATCCTTATTGTCTTGCTCAGCCATTTTCAGGGTGTTGCTTAAATGCTGCTGCACTCCAAGAAGTTGCTCACGTTCAAAACGCGCATTTTCAGCAAGGTCCATATATCTTTGTTCTAACTCCATGTAGCGACCACTTTTTACATCTTCATCTAAAACGTAAGAAATGTGGTGCTCATCTAGCAAAGAACGAAAATACTCACTCTGTCGACTGAAGTGTTCTAATTTATCACTTTGTTGACACAAGGAATCCATTAGAATGACCTTTTCCTCTCCTAACCTCTCATTTTCAGAATTCAACTCTTGTGTTATCTGCTGAAGATCTGCCAGTTCCTGAAGTGTAGCTTGGAGCTCCTCTGCTGTGCTGTGTTGATTTTCTTCCATCTGGTGAATGCGCTCTGTTAAACAGGCCACCGACACCTCACTTACATTTCCACTGCTTCCTTTCCTTGAGCGCTCCCTACTTGGTGCACCCTCAGATTCAGATGACGATGATGGTGCATCTAATGCATCATCACTGGAAGTAAGTGGTTGGTAGACCTCACTGGACTCACTGTCCAGGTTGTCCAGAGAATTGCTGCGGTTATCAGTTAATGTGTTCTCCTCTTGGCTCAACAGATCTTCCATAGAACCAGGTGCTGATCCCTCTACTGAAGAAGTTAAGGTACCACCATCACTCTGATTACCAGTAGCTACATCAGGACTTGAGGACTGTAAGCCAAACAATTTCTCTGCACAGTCTAATTTTTGCTCCAAAGAGAAGCCAAGAGCATTTAATCGATCTTTTAACATTCGGTTCTCATTTTTTAGCTGATTTAGCTCATCCCGGATTGTACTATTCTGTTCTTCCAACTGGAGGAGACTTGATTCCACATCTCTAGGCTGAAGGGGTACAGTATCTTCTTTTACTTCAATCTCCTCCTTTCCCGCTTCTTCCAACAATTCATTGCTCAGTCCCAGCTGGGCACGCATGTCTCGGAGTTCGTTTCTAAGATGCAGGATCTCCACATCCTTATTTTTAGCTAAAGTGAGAAGATCTTTAACCTTTGCTTCTAGAGCAGTTTTATCACTGATCTGGCCATCAGATCTGGACTTACTCATTCGGGTTTCAGACTCTGTTGACATCCGGCTGCGTGAGCGTTTAGCAACATCATTACCTCCCTGGCCGGCAGATGAGAATTTTTTGCTTATGCTCTGTCGTGGCCGATCACGGATTTTATCTCTGTTCCAATTGATTTCTTTATTTCCTGAAGTTGCATTCCGTTTGGCTGTGGCACTCATACCTAATGACACAAATAAAAGAAACTTAATTTCCAAAATGGCATTATGAAAATTCCAATACTTTACCTGTTTGACTTGGGTTTTTTTCTTACACCAAGTTGAGCAATTGTCAAAAGACAATGGAAAAATCCAAAGGCATAACTATAAAACTGACAACATTTTCATTCACAATCTCCAATAAAGCAACTTCTGAACTGGAAACAGCAAGGTTATTCAACAATGAAGTGCAATGCGATGTGCTGAAATGAAGCCTGGGGAATCTTCTGCCACAAAAAGTGGTTGAGTCCAAATCATTGAATGCTTTCAAGGAGTTAGACAAAGTTTTCAGGGCTAAAGGGATCAAAGGGTATGGGTAGAAAGTGAGTTCAGGGCACTGAGCTGATTGATCAGCCACGATCATTGAATGGTGGAACAGGCTCAAAGGGTCAAATAACCTACTCCCTCTCCTATTTTCTATGTTTCTACTCCTTACCACTGATGTTTAAAGACCAAGGTCCATTTTCTTCATCATCATCTACCATCCTACCAGTTACATGATTTAATAATGGAGTTGTTGACTAATCATCATTCCCTTCAAAATCCAGCAGCCTGCCTAAACTTGATGGTTTTGCAGAGTGTAACAACAAATGTCAGCACAGAATGGGGAACTTCCAAGAAGAGTTGCTATAGTCTTATGTACAATCTACTGAATTCCATTATGTACTCTTCTATTTAATGATCTTTGCTCTTTCTGAATGTCAAAATTTCACTATGCCTCATAAGCAGTTAGTAAATCTACTATTTGATTATTTTTATCTCTGAAAGTTTACACTTTGTCCAAACCTTCACCAGGCCCATATCATCAATCTCCAATTATGAGAAAAAACACTTCATATCCCACTTTTGTATGGTAGCAGAAACGCCAAGGCTATACGTTCTTTCCTCTTCAGTAAAGAAATGCAAGATCATATGATTACTTCATCTTTCCATCGGCTGTAAGGATTGCATTCAGGATAATCATACATTGATACTTTGGATTATGTTGCAGCCATCTCTCTCTCCAGGTTTCTCCAAATCACTCCTTAATTGGAGTCATAGAAAGATTGTTGACTTGCTCGCCAAGCTGGCTTGTTTTCGTTCAGACGTTTCATCACCATGCTAGGTAACATCATCAGTGAGGCCTCCGACGAAGCGATGTTCTACTCCACTTGGAATTTATACTGTCTGGTCTATTATGGTGAGTTGTGTCTTTTCCGGTTCTGTTCTATACGATTTTGTATATGGGGTCCAATTCTATATGTTTGTTGATTGCATTATGGGTTGAGAATCATGCCTCTAGGCATTCCTGTGCATATCTATGTTTGGCTTGGGCTACTATGGTTACGTTGTCCCAGTTAAACTGATGGCCTTCATTGTCCGAGTGTACTGATATTAGGGAAAGTCTGTCATGTCGTTTTGCAGTTAGCTGATGTTCGTGTATTCTGATGGCTAGTTTCCTTCCTGTCTGTCTGATATAATCTTTGTGGCAGTCGTTGCATGGTATTTTGTAAACATGCATCTGCATGTCGTGGATATAAGGGTCTTTAATCCTTCTGAGTGTTTGTGCAGTGTGGTTGTGGGCTTGCGTGCTACCGTGATTCCTAGTGGTTGTAGGAGTGTCGTTGTCAGTTCTGACATGTTCTTGATGTAGGGCAGTGTGGCCAGTGTGTCAGGGCGTACTGTGTCCTCTTGGTGTGGTCTATTTAATAGGCACCTGCAGATGAAGTTGCGGGGATATCCGTTCATAGCAAAGATTTTGTACAGGTGCTCTTCCTCTTTCTTGCGTAGTTCTGGCGTGTTGCAGAGTGATGGCCCGTTTAAATAGTGTCCTAACACAGCTTTGTTTGTGGACATTGGGATAATTGCTGTGGAAGTTGAGGATTTGGTCAGCGTGGGTTGCTTTCCTGTATACCGAGGTTTGGAACTCCCCATTGGTCATACCTTCAACCCGGACGTCCAGGAACAGAAGCTGATTGTTGTTTTTTTCTCTCGTGAATTTAATCCTGGCGAATATGTTGTTGATGAGGTGCTGGGTCTCTTCTAGTTTGGTGTCTTTAATGATGACAAGTATGTCGTCCACGTACCGGATCCACAGTTTAGGTTGAATGCGGGGGAGGGTAGTGTGTTCTAGTCTTTGCATCAATGCTTTTGCAATGAATCCTGAGATGGGTGACTAAGGTTCTATGGAAAGGTCAACCGGACCCGAAACGTTAACTCTGATTTTCTCTTCATAGATGCTGCCAGACCTGCTGAGCTTTTCCAGCAACTTCTGTCTTTGTGCCTGATTTACAGCATCTGCGGTTCTTTTGGTTTTCACAAGTCTAGTAGTTTGAGTATGTTGTCATGGCTGATGGAGCTGCTGGTCTGTGTTCCTGCTTCCTATAGTAATGTGGCCAGTGTTGCTTTATCTAGTGGGATGTCAATTGATGTGAATAATGCTGCGACATCAAAGGATACCATAATCTTGTCGTTAAAAATTTTTATGTTCGAGGGTACTAAGGGATTCTTTGGTTGAGTGACTGGAATGGAATGATCCATCGACTAGGTGTTTCAGTATCTGTTGTAGGTCCTTGGCCAGTTTGTGTGAAGGTGGGCCCGTCAGGAGGACAATAGGTCTGAGGGATATGTGTGGTTTGTGTACTTTCGGAAGTCCATAGAAGCGGGGGCTGTTTGTGTTTTCTGGTTTCATTCTCATGTAGTCTGTCTTGGTTACTTGTCCTGCATCCTTTAGTCTCTTCAGTGTCTAGGTGATCCTATTCCCTAGCTGCAGTGTTGAGTCTATTGCCACCTGTTAGTAAGTGTTTGTGTCTGCGAGCTGGGCCTGTACTATCTCAACGTAGTCTGGTTTATTCATAATGACGGTCATGCGCCCTTTGTCTGTTGGTGGGATTACAATATCCTTGTCTTTCTTCAGTTTTTCTAGTGCTTTTCTCTCTGATGCATTCAGGGTGTCCCATTCGTTCCTTTTGCTCAGTGTGAGGATTATAGTTTGTCGGATGGCTTGCTGTGTTTCGTCCGTGAGTTTGGTGTCTTTTAATGTAGTTTCCAGGGCAGCCATGAAGTCTGTTTCTTTGTTCGCATCTTTGTGGTTATAGTTCAGTCCACAAAATAGGACAGCTTTCTCAGTTTCTGAGAGTCGTCTACTGGATAGGTTTCTTATCCATGTGTCTGGTTTGTTGTTGTCCTTGTCTTTGTGGTGGATCAGTTTACGAAGTTTCTCTTGTAGTTTGTGCCTCTTCTTTGTTTTGGTCTTGTGTTGTTTGATGGTGATGGTCTGTTCTAGGGTTGTGGTCCATTGCTGGTCCGTAGTGTTTAGGTACCGTGATTTTTGGTGTGAAATTTCCCGTTCGTACTTGTAGAGTCGGTTATGGGCATCATTGTTCATTAATTGTAGCATTCTGGTCCATTCTGTTCAGCTATTTTTTTATGCCTGTGGGTTGTTGAGTTGAGGTTTGTACTTCACACTGCGGAGTAGTACCTGGTTCCTGAGGCATTTGTGGAGAAAGTGAAGTTGTTCACGGGTAGCGCGCATTCAGTTGGCAAAGGTTTCCCATTGTCGGGCAAGGTTTAGCGTGTTGCGCCCATAGGAGTTTAAGGTTTTTGTAAAGATTTGTAGTTCGGGTTGTGGGCGAGGTTGCTGACTTGCTCGCCAAGTTGGCTTGTTTTCGTTCAGATGTTTCGTCACCATGCCAGGTAACATCATCAGTGAGGTCTCCCATGAAGCGATGTTGTTCCACTCCGCTTAGAATTTACACTGTCCAGTCTGTTATGGTGAGTCCCAGAGGTCCATAGCCCATTGAGTCTGCGCTGGTCAAAAGTAACCACATAACTATTCTAATCCCATTTTCCAACACTTGGCCTTCAGCCTTGTATGCCTTGGCATCTCAAATGTACATCGGAGTACATCTTAAATATTATAAAGGTTACAGGCAGTGAGTTCCAGATTCTCACCATCGTCTAGTTGGAAACGTTTTTCCTCATATCTCCATGAAACCTTCTGCCCCCGACCTTAAATCTATGGTCTCTGGTCCCTGACAAGTGCCCGCGTAATAATTCTCATCTCATGCTAGCAGTTTAGCTTCTGGTCTTTAGGCTGTTGGCACAGATCTCAATTCAACAGAGTAAAGTCACTGATAGTAATAGAGAGGTAATTTCCAGGTAGTGAGCTAAGGAAGATTATAGCAAACTTTGAATAGCTTTTTTTTGTTCTGGATGTACCCTGTTCTGCCATAAGAACAGTGCTTTGCATTGGAGAAGGTGAACGTTGGGATAAAATCATACCTCGTTTCAGATGCTAATCAGCAATTTTTTTAGGAGATAACCAAGGAGTACTAAAACATTTTTAAATATGATGGGTATAATTGCAGTGATGAATGAAAATAAATGGCTGCAATGCTATGTGTTATTACTTCAGTGATAAGTTTTATATGCATGGTATTATCGCTTCTCGCAGGGTTTCCAACCTTCAGGACTCAGTGACCTAAACGCACTCATGTTTACATTGAAATGTGCTCTTTGGTGGCAACTGAAAAATGTGTATAATATTTACACTGAAACAGACTGGCAATATGATTCTAACTTCAGCTAGTTCTAAAAATGTGGACAAGAGAGAAAAGAGAAGGGAGGGCAGAGGATGTAGAGTTCAGGATTATGCCCTCTGGTCCCAGACTCTCCCAATAAGGAGAAACAACTGCATGTACCCTGTCAAACCCCGCCAAGAATCTTATTTTTCAATAATGTCGCTCTCATTCGCCTGAACTTCAACAGTACAGTCCCAAGCTACTCAACCTTTTCTCATAAGGCAGTCCGTCCATATCCATTATCAGCTTAATGAACCTTTTCGGACTGTCTGCAATGCCACAAGACCTTAAGGTATAGGAACAGAATCAGGTCATTTGGTCCATCGAGTCTGCTCTGCCATTCAATCATGGCTTATGCATTTCTCAACCCCATTCTCCTACCTTCTTCTCGTAAGCCCTTCATC